CGATTTCCTTCCGGAACGAATCGGATGACGACGATTAACTATTGTTGAAAGGTACTATAGCGATTGCATTGTTACAGTTAACCCGCATTGATAGCCTCGTTTATATATAGTTTACATTCACGAAATCAGTCTTCACTGCGGAACACATACATGGACATTCATATAGACTAGGACTCTTATTTTGACTTCAGACATACACGAGACAAACACGAGATCGAATTAACCTTCACCTTTAGAATACTTCAAACGCGCGATCGATAAAAACATTTCTCTTTTTTCGACAATATTTAGAAATTTAATTGTTCGAAAAAGACCGATCAGGATTTGATCATTAGAGAGTGAGCAGCTGATTCAAAGAAAAAGGAAAAAATGAGAAGCCGTGGAGAAAGAGAGCTAGTCACTGTAATAAACTTCTAAACGTATAATTTTAAATTTGTGCGGCTGTCTTATTTTATTCCGTCATTACTAAATTATACGTATAAATATCCGTCCTCGCTTCCGCCGTTTAGCAAATAATTAAAGAATCACCAAAGAACAATTAATTATCTTGAAAGATACAATTGTAATTATCACATGGTCGTGACATGTTAGGGACATTCCGAGATTTCAGCTTTGGTTAACATAATTCATGATTATGTAAGACAATGTAGGAAATGCAGCTGTTTAGCGATCTGTTAATGACAGGAATTACAAAAAATAGTGCAATAATTCTTTCGGAAAGAATTGATTGTTTCACATAATCGCTAATAATTCATTGTTAATTTATATTTTTCACATAGTAATAATTTGTTAGCTGATTTTAAATCTCTCAAAATAATTATATTAATTTTATATTGCAGGTCTCTTTTTCAAAAGCATTTCATGTAATCGCAATCGTGTTATTAACGAAATATTATCGCGCAATAAATTAAACACAAGCTGTTATTTTTATAATCGTGCCACCTGATTTAGACCAGAATTTAGGTCTCTGGTAATGGAGGTTCTCTCGCTAGCAGTTATTGATTTTACTTTCGGAAAGAAATCTCGATGGCCTGAGAAACACTTCACTTTTCCGTATTTATTAATGCATGCACAAACAGTAAAATATTTAACAACTTTTTATTGCTCAAGTCAGCGTTCTGCAGCTCGTTCAGTCAGTACATGTCAATAAAAGTGTAGTAAACCCAGAATTCTTATCAATACCTTTGTTTTAAAGAAATGGGAAATAAAAGATATGGATTTACATAAAAAGCAACAATATATTAATTATAAATATATCATTATGATTTTAAAAGTTGCAACAGACATGAATTATTGTTAGTATCAGTTTTGGGAAAAGATATTAATTGCATGAAAAAGTAAGTATACAATCGGACATACAGAACTCGTCAATCTTGACAAAGAGAATGCTTTAGATAGGATGCCAAGTTAGTGTTATTGATTCTCGTACACGACATTATACAAGGCCTGAGTTTAAAGGTACGTTCAGCGAGATTTAAGAATTTGTTTACTTTGTATCGAACAAAATCTCTGAAAACAGCTAAGTCATCAAGATTATCTTCAAATAAATGTTTTAGAGAGATGATTGTGCTTCTTATCAAGATATTGGAAAGAAAAGAAAAAAAACATCCCTTGGAAACAAGAATAATAGTCTGCATAATTAAATACAATGGAGACGTCTGTTATATTCAAATGAGAATAAAAAGAATAACAGTGAGAAATAGTATTTTCTCTTCAGTTTATATATAAGTCTCTCGTATCATAGAAACTGTGACATGCATATTATGTAAATGGATGACCCATATTCATGATATACGTATTTATTTATGGCAATGTAGCAACATAGACATAATAATAATTATATAATTCTTATTTGATCTTATAGTTGCGTAATAGGGGACTGGCATCTTGAAAGACTGGGACTTACGTATAGCTTCTCTAGATATTTATAAAAAATAATCATTACGGAATCTTTCCTGGATTGCGAGTTATACACGGTGACACCGCGAGAAAGATATGTTTATTCCAAATGCCAAAGTGTTGCGCGTTGTTAATGTTTAACAAAAGGCGTAGAAACGGAGTCGGATCACAGTTTCGCACGCGCAACCATAAACTCGTAGTGGCAGACATCGTTCCCGCAGTTTCCACTGATTGTATAACCGAGACATTTTCAACTCCATGGAGTTTCCTGGTTGATATGAAGATAAATCACGTCAAGCGAGACTTCGAGAGATTATATACGACTGTGATAATCCAGATAAAATTTAATTTAAAAAATATATACAGGTTCTCGTATAAAGCATTCAAAAATAATGAAAAAGAGGACAGCAAGTCGAGCTAGATATTTTTTGTTTTGTACTATTAATATACTATCTTAACTTAATATCAATGGTTACGTTTACTACCTATACGATAGGTGTACCTTTGTTTAACCTACAGGATAAACAAGGACACCTATTGTACAGGTCGCGAACTAAGGGCACCGTGTAAACGTAGTTAATGTTACATAGTGTAAAAACAAACATTCTGACCTTTTAACAACGAGTTGTTAAATCTACAATGCTAATATATTAAAATTTAATTTCATCAGAATTTAAATACATGCATTTAAATTTTTTTTTATTCTGGTAAAATTAACAGTGTCATTTTTATTTTTTTACCATTGAAAATAACAGGTTGTTAAAAGATCAAAACGTTGGCTATTATATTACATAACGTTAACGTAAAGTTAAGGTAATTACATATTGACACAAAACATCTAACTCGCATACTCTTTCTTTCATTATCCTCAAATTTTTAATCCATTAATACTTTTACATATATGTAAATACAATGACAATGTGCAATTGCAAACATATAATTAAGTTTCAAAGGATTTATAAGTTATTACTATAAATATTGTTTATTGAATTCAACCCTCTCTTTTAACGCGTACTCGAAGGCACTTGATGAAAGGCACTTTTCATATAAATTTATCTTCAAAATACCTCCGCAACTTCAGGATCAAGAAAATGGAGCAACATCCCTAATCGTCTTCCATCATTCTAGTTATGGAGAACCATCTGACGAAAATCTCTGATCACGCCGCTTCGCGCATCATGTTGAATTGAAACATCCCCTTGAAGCGCAGCGTTAATCCCCCCCGAAGGACTGAAACGTCGGCGCGCGAGAGAATCCTCGGCGCGCAATTTTATTTACGTCAGAGGAGACCTGCCATCTTCCTCAGGGATGCACATCTGATATCAAATATAAACCCCGGTGCTAATCCCGCGGTACCTTAACATACAGCTCCCTCGTAGTCATCGCGATCGGTCCAGATGTCGGGCACCTGGATCAGGTAGAAGCTGGGTCAGGAGGTATACCACGGGTCACAGGTACAACACGATCACACGCGCGTACCACTAACACACCGTTCACATATACACGCGCGGCAAAAACGACGACGACGACGACGACGACGACGACGACGATGACGACCAAGTGTCTACAGCGTTGGACGCATGCGATCGAAAGCCGCACGCGCTATGAACACCGTCGACTTCGTCGGGTCGTACGCGATGTCACCTGACAAAATTCACGGCATGTTTGTTTTTCCTTTTTTTTTTTTTTCTTTCTTGGTCCCTGTCGTTTTACCACTCCTCGACGTGTTCCTCGAGATAAACGGGCACTTCCGCGTACTCCGCGAGTGGTACCAGTTCGCGCCGCGATTTATTTTCCCAGGACAGGCTGCGACCTTTTGAAGGAGCGATCCGGCACCACCAGCGAGAGCAACCTCTCGCGAAGGTCGTACCTCCACGTAAACGACGGCACTGCCGCTGCCAGCTGGCTCGTTATCGGGTTTAGATTGCGCGCCCCTCTCTGACGACCTCGACGCCCACCTTCGCCAGCCCGCATCGCGGTATCATTGATGTCTCTCTCGCTCTGACACTCGTTGGCGGTATCGTGCGGTCCTCCTTGAAGAATCGAAGACCAACACTGGCGACGTTCGATGTAGAGCGGACTCTTGGAGAACGTTCCAGGCAAACGAGGAGAACGCAACTCGATGGATCATCGCAAGCCATCAGTCTTGCTCCAGAAAGAAACGTCATCCAGAAGGTTCAAGATAATTTAAAAAAGTAAAATATCGAAATATATCGCAATTGTATTGGGGAAAAATATTAAATTCTTTCAAACGTTTATGATATTCTCGATAAGACTTTAAAAAGCAGAAGACTCTATGATAAGTGTGATAACGTGCATAAATTTACTTTAGTTTTTATTTTACAATTGTAATTCGAGCAATTTGAACTTGGCTGCTAATATTTTTAAAGGTTCTGCAATAGTTATCAGTTTTAATGTGTACATATATGTGCACGATAAAAAATAATAATATTTGTAATCAAACGGAAACTGCATCACGTATCATTGCTCGGATTAAAATTCTTGATAAACCAGTACTGGTAACACGTGGCTTTTATCATTGCTTGTTAATCTGCCGACGCCTATCTCTGTGATCATTTGCTGGTAACGGAACTTGGAACTCCAATATATCAGTTTATGTTACAGAATGTCTGCATGACTGTATTTACCTCTCTAGATAACATTTTATTCGTACATAAAATGTCTATTCTCTCACAAAACTGAAATAAAAACTTGAGAGAATTGATCCAATTTTTTATTTTAAGGCAAAATAAAATTAAAAAGATATCAGTTTAATAATTATTAATAATTGTAATGGTAAATACATGATATAAAATAGGAGTTATTGAAAAAAAAAATTAAATTGCATTAAAAAAGTAATAAATTCTAAATAAATAACAGTAAAAATGTACATAAAAAGTAGCTCATTCATGGATAAAACATAAACAACGGAGAATCAGAATATGAACGTATGCAAGTTGCTAGAAACTTCAGTTTATGCTGGAACCTGACATTTAGTGACATTTTTAACATAGATATTTATTAGTTAGGATAGTTATATAATTTATAACGCGTAAATGTTCAGTAATAGAACAGAAGATTAGACAAAGTACGTGGAGACCATGGCATTTTTTCAATTAGTTCTCCAAGCGAGCAAGCTAGAGAAAGCTAGATTGAGGTACGAAGATGAGAAATTGAGATCGATTGAGATCTCCGAGGGTGTCAAGCCGCATCTAACTTTGAAGCAGCGTTTCCGACGAAAGAGATTAAAGTGAACCTGCCATTTAACTCCTTTTAACTCGTTTAATCCATCGATCGATTTTAATTATACGCGTAAAATTCTACTTCATCATTTATATGTTACATTATACATATATCTTTAAAAAATACATTAGTGTTTCTCTCTCTCTCTCTCTCTCTCTCTCTCTCTCTCTCTCTCAATTTTGATGATATTTTTTATTTAATGCACCATAAATATTTTATTTTATTTTAGTGTACTACTATTTGTTTGTGTAATCAAGCATTACACGCAATCGCACTTTTATAGGTACAGAAAGAAGTTTAAGCATTTCTGGAATCGAATAATTTCCCCTTTAAAGCGTATATGGATTTATAAAAAAGTGAGACTTCTTCGCATAGATGGTTCGCTTGAAAATTATATTTTGAAGAGTATCTTTGGATTTTTGTTCGGTATATTTCTTACATATATGTTTTTCGTGTTCTTCGTGATTCAACTAAGTTTTACTCTCTCGTCCGCAACGATATTGTGCTCGATTCTTGGAATGATTCTCACACTCGGTTTGGCGTTTTCTCATCGTGTAAGGTAATTTTGCCTTAAATGAATTTCAATGATATAAATACAAGAGTTATGATCCATGGAATATTTAAATTATTAAAATTATAATTAGTCAAAAAGTATCAAAATTCTACCTTGGAATTTTTTACTTTTATTTATATCCCATAATTTTATCTTCTTTTTACATCCTTTTATGACTTTATATGAACATTTGCACAGGTGTATCGTGTTTCTCTTGCTACCGCAGTTCTTTTCTAAACGAGGCAGACAGGCCTTGATGGCCTATGCCTTTATTCTAACACTTACCGGACCGGCAAAGAATATCTTGCATAATATTAGTGTCCTTTCGGAGTCTTTAGCCTGTGGACAGGTAAGCTCTCACAGGTGAGTTCTCTTATGCATTCCACTTATGTCTTTATATCTTTATACAATGTTGGATCCTTGAAACCATACATCCTTGGTTCTATCCATCGTTAGATCTTTTGTTTGACCGACAATGGCTTAAATGTACCGCAATCAGTTCCGCAATCTTTCCGTTGCATACGCATTCTCGAATTCATAAAATTGATTATGTTGATTACGTTTCGATTTGTCATCATTATTTGGAATTGTTATTATTAATATAATTTATAAAAATGTACATAAAGGAACAATTAAAACAAGTCGTGAAGAATGTAGTTGATTTAATAAAAGAACCCTTCTACGCTTTGAGAGACGCGATATCGAAAGTAATAAAGATGGTAAAGGTGGTCGTGAAGAAAATTAAGCGGACTCTCGTGGCTATCAAACGACTCGTGCTAAGTATACGTGAGTCAACGTTTTTCCATTGGCTTCTGCGTATAATCGATCTTCGTAACTTTAAAAATGTATCTTTCAGTTAAAGTGATCACGTCGGTTTTCCAATGGCTGGGCAATGTTGTGAATATTTGCAACAAGAAGCTGGGTACGCCGTTCGACAGGTGTCAGAGAGTCTTTGAAGGTGCGGTAGATGACTGTAAGGCGAAGCTTGGTCCCCTTTTCGGAGAGATTTGCAATCTGGCGTACGTCGTCGGTGCTTTGTGCTACGTAGTGAAACCTCTAGACTTCATCTGCATGCTCGTATCTTATGTCGCCGATACTATAGTTAACGCTGTACAGGAAAGTATGTTGACGTTATAAACGTATAAAAGATTTTTAAGAGAAAAGACTTTATAAAAAACTTGATAAAGGAAGCTTTATACTGGAATAAATTTTTTTAAATTTCCAGACTCATGTAAATGTCAACGATTTTTAAATTTATCGGAATACAATCTATTTACAATTTTAAATATTCATGAAACATTTAATCATAAGCATAAAACATTTTATAACTTTTTAAATAAAAAGAAAAAGTAAGAGGACTCTTTATATTAAAAATAAAATTTGCATTAAAGTCGATAAATGAGAGTACGGCGATTTATGAATTTAAAAATTTTTCCATCAGCATAATATTGCTAAGCTTTTATATACTTCTTTCTGATTTAATATCTTTTGCTTACACAGAGATCAAAAGATTCACTCGCCACATAAAAACGATGTTCTACGTTAAAGTGAAATTTTCGCATTCTTTCCATTTTGAGACGAACCAAACTAAAACCATCGAAGACGTATCAACTGGTATAATTACAGAGATACGAGCGAGGACTGATAGATTTTTAGCTGTATTTGATTGGATGAGTTTCGTAACCACTTTTTTTATTCTCTTCATGTTGCTAAGGTAAATTTTAAGGTGTCATTTTAATAATTTGCAACTAAAATAATTTTGTATATTGAAACATTTTCTAAAGGATTTTGCATTATCGGCATAAATGGCTGACGCGCGATCGCTTCGATAATCACTACTTGACTGATGATCTGCGCACTATCGATCTAATAAGAACACGTCAGGATAAGGAAACCATTTTGCCGTTAAACCGCCGCGAAAGAAATCAATACATCCCACTGACGTCCGTCACTCTGATCAAAGTAGAAAAAATAAAGCTCGCGAAATCTGTAGTTTTTTTGGGCTTAACGACGTTTAAAATCTGCATTCATATGATGGCGGACTACAGTCTTTATTGGATTCTTAGCACTATTAGATATCACGGACGGATCGAAACAAAGGTATTTTAATGAGACTAATATTGATTGAGGAAGTAAAAATGTACCTATGCTTCAAGAATTTTTTTTAGATCCTTTAATATTTAGTTATTATCTTTTAAGATAAATGTAACGATAAAAAGCTACTTTTAAATTAATTTAAAAATAACTTTTAATAATAGTGAGTGAAAATTGATTGAGAAATGTTTAATACAAATAAGCGAAGAAAGTCATATTTGATTAAAATGGGTCTTAGTATCTAATAATTTATTTTTGTATGAATCTTACAATTTCCAGTTCAAGCATCATCAATTTATTTTATTGCTGATCAATTTATTTTAAAATTTATGATCAACAATTGGAATTTCTGAAGAATTAAATTACAATTGACGTACATTTCGCTGACTGAGTTAATTGAATGTTCTGTTAGCTTACAACCGCAATTTTGTTATCGAGATTTGCGTGGAGTGCGGCGGTGAATATCGACAATCGGCGGTCGGATATATACCGCGGCGTAGAATAATCACGATGGAAGGTAACATAATGGCGGAACGTATATATCGATCTAGGTCCAACGACCCAATTTTGTGGGCGTCCATGTGTCTGGTGACGGCTATCTCGCCGACCTTTATCGAAGCATCGTGAAAGCCTTCACGCCACACGCAAAGGATATAGAGATCGATACGATGCCCTGCCTCCCAGATCCCATCCCTCCAGATTTAAATCGGTATACGCAGATTGTGACGTTGATCGCCTTCTGCTGGATTATGGCAATATTTGAACCGTACGGATTACGATTGCGACATATCGTGATGTGCAAATATCACCCGGAAAGAGCAAAGCAAAGAGCTGCTTGGTTGTATAATCATATAATTAGGTAATGTACGAGTATTTCCAATTAGCTAATAAAGTAATCGACCGGCACATTGATATCAAAGTACTTTTAACAAAGTTTTATGTTGGTCGTTGCATAAAATATTATTAAAGGTTGATGTCGGTCTATTACATTAAAAGTACGTTGTACGCTTCGTCACTTTTAAGTATTAAAATCTAAGTATTAAAATCTGACAGGATTAAAATAAAATATAAAAAAAAACTCTCTTGAATATTAAATTATATGAAAGTAACGATGTTTCTTCCAACGTGCAATTTTTCATTCAGTTTTTTTCTTACTTTAATCGATATAAACTGCAAACTGCGTTTAGTTAATGAGTTCAATTCGTGCACAGATCGAGAGGAAGCTTTTTGAAATTTGCACGACGCCAGTTGCGCCGCAAGTTCGGCATGACTGAGGGCGAGAGAATCGAGAGAGTCACGTTCAGAGAACGATGTCTGGCTATTTGCCCTTTCCTGAACAAATTGTTCCCTCAAAAGCAGAACGTGTGTCTCCTGTGCGGTTCCGTGGAACGTTCCGATCGGGAACCGCACATTAAATGTGCCACGCCAGGCTGCCCCGGTTTATTCTGCATGCAATGCTTCGCGGACTTGCAGAATCTCTGCACGATTTGCCGATCGCCTATCGAGTACGGCGATTTGTCGGATATTAGCGAGGAGCGGTAAGTTCTGATAATAAATTTGCAAAAAAGTTCAGAAAGTTTAGAGCATAAAAGTATTATGCAATATATTACAAGCAATGTATTGCTTGTATGTATCTTTAAAAAAATATTTGTTTATGTTTTTTATATTTATATATATATATATTTATAAATATTAAAAAATAATTATTGCGTTTCTAAATAATTATTCTTTACAAAATTTATACGTAAATTTAATTACAATTTAAAGAAAGAATTTACGAGTTTAAAATATATTATTAAAACTATGTAATATTGATTTATTATCTCGTTTTAATCGAATTAGAGATTCATCGGAAGATCAATTGATTGCAAGAAAGGAACCTGTGCCAATAAGTACTTATGTCGATGAAAGAGAAGAGCCAATAGTAGAAGAAAAACCAAAAGAAGAAGTAGAAATAAAAGAAGAAATAGAAAAAGAAATATTGGAAAAAAGAGTGTCAGAAGAAATAATACTGGAAGAAAAAGTACTAGAGGAAAAAATACCGGAAAAAAGAATATCTGAGGAATGGAAAGAGGAAAGTACAGTTGTTGAAAAGAAGAATGTAGCAGTCCAAACGGATGATGATACCAGTGGAAATAGTTCTGAGTCGGTCTATAGTTATAGTATGTACATCACTTTTATGTTTCGCATTATACCTTTACTACAAATGTATGCTTTCAAATGCATGCAATTTATTTCACAATCATCCGTAAAAAAATAAATTCGAGTAAGTTAAAGTAATAATTAAATGTGTCAGCTTATCAAGAAGGATCACGAGAGATCGAAGTCGAGCATCGGAGAATACCATTCAAAGACATCGAAGCGCAGAAAATAAGAGAAGACGTTACGATTCAAGTGAGGCATTATAAACAAAAAAATTGTATTAAAAATTTATATATATGTATATATAAACAATTTTTTGCACAATTAACTTTAATGCAAATAAACTTTTCATATTATAATCTAGTACTTGATATCATGATTTGTAGGTAAATAAATTATCCGTTTTTTTAGAAGCTTTAATCAAAAAGCTCAATTTTTTATTATGCTAATAGAAAAGCAAGTTGATTTCAATAATAGATATCAATAATCAAGAATTGCTCAGCAGAAAAAATGTTCGATTTAGATTTTTAACGAGCCATTGGCGAAGGAAGTTACTTCGAGCAGCGAAGATCCAACGTCCTGTTTCGTGGTGAGAGCTCGTAGGAGGCTTCGTACCAGGTTGAAAAGGAAATCCTGCTCTTCCCCGCGCAAGAACGATTCCAGCTCGTCTACGTCAATAGCGGACACCGAGTCTTGCGCTACACAAGAGCTAGATGAAGAAGAGGTAATTCACATTGAGATAGACGACAGCTCAAAGGAATTACTCTTAAAAGACGGTACTGCCAAAGCAAGAAAACGAAGTAGTCGCGTAGGAAGAATCCTTGCTGCACTCACAAAAATTTCTTGGCTCGGCAAAAGAACGGTAAAATAACATCGATATCTCGCTAGCGTCTTTTTTCCATTTTATTTTTAATCAGTAATTTCTGCATCGATCATTTACAGTGAATTTTCGTTTCCTTTTAGACGACCGATAGCGACGGCGAATGGCGAATGAGAAAACCGTCTCTGCTAGATAGAATAGCACGGATGCTTTCTGGAAATCAATCTACCTCGCCCGTACAAACGTATCGACGAATTCGCACTACGAGAAAAGATGCGAAGCATAAGAGCTCCTCCTCCGTTTCCTCGTTTTCCACCGATGAAGAAAACGAACAGCACGCGCTCTTAAAGGCGCACGATCGGCAAGTAAATTGTTTACAAATCATTTCAAATCATGACGATTTCGAGGATAACATTTACAGCAGAAATTATGATTCGCATCGTGCACGACGCGGAACGATCTGTCGCCAACCAGATTCTCACGTGAAAGCTGACGATGTAAGACTGAGACATCCTCACGAGAAGAAATTTACGATGAAAAAGTTACCAAGGTAGCAAAATTATATAATAGCTTAAATTAAATATCACTAAACAATAAATATGAAATCTATAATATCGCTCATTTACTACAATTGTCATTTTTTAGTTCGTCGCAAAAAAGAGCTGAAAAGAAAGAAAATTACTTTAAAAGAACATACTTTTATTCCTTTATAATCAGTTATTATATCAAAATTGTACTTTTAAAGTTAATATTATAAAATTTTAATAATTCAAATTTTTATTTTCTGAAAAAACTTTACTTGTTCTTAATTGTCGTTATGTAGTAAAGCGATATATAGATATTTTTATGTAATGTGCACAACATTAATCCACAATGTAATCCACAATGTTATAGATACCTTCAGCCAATTTCGAAGGATACGGCATACTTCGAAGTGAACGAAATTATAGATTCGCAATCGAAACGAGGATGTGTTCTCCCGACAGAACGCGTTAATATTTTACCAAATACCAGAATATTCGACAATCAAAAAACAGACAAATCAAACGTCACTAGTGATGATTACACTCAAGTATATTTATCGTTTTCTACTTACTTCTGTAAAATTTTAATTTTCTGGTTAGCGTCGATCGTTAAAAAATATTATATTTTAACAAAATTAAAACTATTATCTGATGAAAATAAGCAGTAATTTATATTTACAATATTATATTTATTTGTATTAATAAAAAATGGATTTATTTAGATTTTTTGCTCGTGCATGTCGCAAACGTCTTGCGATATCAAAGATAGCATAAGTCAATCGGACGTGAATGTTACAGAACAAACTAATGAAATGTCTAAAATAGACGCAATGTCGGAAACGGAATTGTTAACTGATTGGGAAAGAATAGATCAAAGTATCTTCTGTTTTAAAATACACAAAAAAAAAAAGAAACAGCATCAATCAAGCATATTTGTCTGATTTTCAGAAAAGAAAGCAGAAGAAAGTGTCACTACGGAAGAAACATCGATAGATAGTGAAATAGAACAACAAAGAGCTAAAGCTCTAATGGAAAATAATCGAAGGAAATCGTTGGCGAAAAATAGTAAAACAATTGCGGAGTTAAATAATTTTGCAGAAGAAATAGGTGTGAGAAAATACTTTGCCAAAAAGAAACAAACTGAAGCATTATCTAAAGAATTATCTAGAGAAAAAAAAGCCAGAGAAGAAGTAATAGCATCACCTTCGGAAGTAAATGAAAAAGCTCGATTGTACGATCCGTTGGCTAGTTCGGAGTTGTACAGCGTCACGTGCCAAGTAAAAAGACGCGAAAAACCTGCCATGGAAAAATTAACGAAGCAATCGGGAACGGCAGAAATACGTATTGACGATAGAAAGTCGGCGGAATTTGAAGAAGATATTGAAATAGAACAAAAAAGTGTTCAGGTTTCCGCGCATGAAACTAAAAAATCTGTACTCGAAAAAAGTATTCAAACAGATCTGCGAAAATCTGAAAAATACAAAAGGTGTGATAAGATGCACATCGACACGCAATTTTCCAAAGCAGCTGACTTGGAAAAGAAAAAGAAAAAAGAAAAAAGAAGACAATGGACAGAAAAGTGGATCGATAAATTTAAACGTAAACAGAGGTAACGAAAAGAGAAAATGCAATAAAAGAAAAGATTTTTTAAAATTACTTAACGTATTTAATTACTTAATTTACTTAATCCATTATAAGAATATAATTTTATGTTATATATAGAGACCCTAATAATAGTTCACCACGAAAAAAACAAAAAAACAAAAAATGTTGCAATAAGCCAACACTGATTAAGGAAAAGCTTTATGATAGAAGAAAGCAAGAAATAATTTACAGCCGCGATATGCAAATTCATCCCAGGTAACATTCTCATGTTATATTTTACATTTAAGTTCCTAAGATCAATGATTTGATAATACACGATACATGAAAGATTTTCTTCGTAAGTCGCACAGAATGGTGTCCTGACGATATTCGAAGACGGAGAAGAGTTCCTCCATTAAGATCATTAGCTGAATTAAAAGAAGATCGTCAAACTCAGTGTAATCTTCGCGACAAGGAAGATACTCAAAGCAGGAAAGATGATGTCTACGATCTGAAGTCTGCAAACAAGCCAGAAGTCTGGTCTTGTCATGTTCAGCCGCAATTTACAGCATCTGAACAAATAGCTTGCTGTCGAGATTATCAACGGAAACTTTTGAGTTCATATAATAATGAGTATGTTTATATAGAAATTTTATCCTATCTTAGAGAAAATAGAAATATTATATATTAAATAGAAATATTATAGAAAATATATATATACAGAGTGGGGCAATAATTATTACAACCTTAAATATCTTCAAATTTATAAAGTGCAGAAAAAGATTTGCGTAACCAAAATTGCGGTACGAAGAAGGCTATCGTATGGCGATAATAATTTGTCGAAGTGGAGGTGCTTTGAAGATATCAAGGTCATCTTAATTTTTTAAATAAGTTCGAAAATATTTTTTTCCATAACATAATAGAGACGTTCAAAACAAGTAACAGAACTTATAATCCAAGATTATTGGACAAGATTGCAAGTTAAAAAACGATAAAAAGATAAATTTGCGTTTTATTCTATACATATATATTGTGTAACATTTTATTTGTTATTTTATTATTAATTAGTATAGTAAATGACGTTTGTAATATTTATAAAAGATGTGTTTAAAGTGATGGCCATCACTATCAATACAACAGTGGATTCTTCTGATCACTGATTAGCTTAGTCTTTAATAATTTCAAAAATTATCAATGCAGGCTGCAATGATTCGTTGTTGCATGTCTTGAGGTAGTTGGTTCTTCTTTGTAGACTATATCTTTTATTGTCCTATAAAAAGTCCAGTAGTATCTGGTGAATGAGCTGATCTATACGGCTCCTATGCCTATTCCAGCGATTTGTAAATTTTTCATTAAATTTATTTCTTGTAACGAATGAAAAATTAGCCGAACATTCATCGTGCTGGTATTACATTGTTCGTCGTGTGATTAAAGACTAGTTTTCTAACAAAAGACCCAATATATACTCAAGAAAAGTGGCGTAGCTGTTTCCATTTAGATGTCCGTCGATAAAATAAGGACCAATAATTTTGTTAGCTACGACTGGTATTCATAGTTCTTATTTCAAGACCGTCTTAAGTAATGTTTTAAGATGCTACTAATACGGTTCATAACATCTTGAGGCTGTACTTAAGATAATCTTAAAATATATAAGACTTATCTATTATATAAGCCGATCTTATCT